CCCACAGCATTTCTCACCTAACCATGGGCAACAAATGGTGAAAGTTTGAGCGATTTTGAATTTTTGAGCCTTGCCACAAATTTTCGATTTTGTTTGATTTTTAGGGAGACGCGCTCTTAATACGATTAAGGTTAATTACTACACCTTCGGTGATTTATTTACCTTTTCTTCAAATCGTGTTTTTTTTAACAACTCCAAAAAATTAAAGAATTTTAAAACAAATTGTCAAAAATGGAAGGTCAGCCTACAATCTTTTATTTTATTTGATACTTTTTGGGGAGGGGGGAGGGTGTGGGGGAAAGTTACCCACGAAGGTCTTCAGTAACTTTAAATAATACAAATAATGTTTACGTAATCTTAAATACTTTAAGTGAATCGTTTGCTTGGGCGTGAGGCTGTAGTTTGGCTTGATATTACCAAAGTGCTTTATTTTTATTTGAGTGATTGAGAGGCCTTAGATTTTTTACAGGGGTGAATAGCGAAAGTCCTGTCTCATTGTATTTTTTGTTTTGGTAGTTTTGGCTTTTATAGACACTTTGATATTCATTATTATGAAGTCAGGTACTCCTCTACAAGCTTCCACTTTTGTGAATATGGTAGATGCGTGTATAAAATATTGCAAGTGATTTCAACTTTTTAAATGGAAATCAGCTACAAACTTTATCCTTTTACTCCCATGTCTGAAACAAACCCTTCCCCCCATTGTATTTGCATTCTAGTTCGTCAAAATATTAAAAATCATATTTACAAACCAAAACTATACGATACCACACCAACATCATACTGGTGAGAATGGCATTCAGATGCAACGCTTCCCCAACCAGAATGAGTACAGTTTTGCAGTTTTGACTCTGAACCCGAACAACCCATGTCGTTCAGCCATACTTTCCCGGTTCCTTGACCGTACCTCCAATGTCCAACAGCGGCGGAAAAGCCGAGTTGACGACAAGCTACCTTTGCGTCTTTCATATCGAAGTAATCACAACAGACGGTTCCCTATTGACCACTGTGATAGATTTGTATAATCTCGCCAACTCCTATGAAATTCTTTGTATGCTAAATTAATTAATATGTAAATTTCTTTTATATTTTAAATTATTTAATGAGAAACCTAAAAATGTAATGCTTTTTAATTCTCCAAAATCGTTTATTTTTCTGTTTTATGAAATGGTCTATATATACTTTTCCCGATCCTTGTCCAAATTGCCAATATCCTACAGTTTTTGTAACACCAAGTTGTCCACATTCAACCTTAGCATCTCTGATATAAAAGTAAGGATAAGATATTGTTCCTCATTGACTACTTTGGTTACCTGTGAAAATAAGAATATCTTTTGATTTGTTCCATCATCGCTATCATGATAGGAAGCTTAAACTATATGACAGCAACTATGCCGTCAGTTCAGAATCGTCTCGATGATTTTCAATCTAAGTGGTTACAAACTTTATCCTTTTTAGCCCTAAGTCTGAAAAAGGCCCTTATTTCTTTTTACATTGTATTTGCTATCTAGTTTGTGAAAATATTAAAAATTTTATTTACGAACCGAAAACATACGATACCACACCAACATCATACTGGTGAGAATGACATTCAGATGCAACGCTTCCCCAACCAGAATGAGTGCAGCTTTGCAGTTTTGACTCTGAACCCGAACAACCCATGTCGTTCAGCCATACTTTCCCAGTTCCTTGACCATACTTCCAACGTCCAACAGCGGCGGAAAAGCCGAGTTGACGACAAGCTACCTTTACGTCGTCCATATCGAAGTAATTACAACAGACGGTTCCCGTGTTTCACTCCCACGTGTTGGGGCGCTACTTGATTTAAAAACTACACTGTTACTCCGTTGTCAAAAACCTTAAATTTTCTGGACGATAAGAACTTGGCTTAAGGTCAAGTTAGGTATGTGAAAATTTGTCTTAAACATTTGTATAAAATCAAAGTATAAACGATTGAATACTTACAAAAGCTGTAGGGGAATCTGACGTAGTAAATTATGTATATATTTCGCGTAAATCGAACTTAGAATCACAGCTTAGAAAACTGATCACTTATCTTTTTTATCTCCTCGTGGTTTTTTTCCTGTAACTCTCCCTTCTCACATTTCCCCTAGGGGGTTACGGTAGGGAATTTTGTCATTCTGCAATACATCCCCATTGACAACTGTGGTAGATTTGTAATCTCATAAACTCATATAAGTTTCTGTGGATATGTAATAATTGTGATAATATGTAATAATTTTTAAATTCTTCATATTTTCAGTTTTTTATTGGAAAACAATGTGAAAAGGTAGTCCTTTTTAGTGCTCTAAAATAGTTTGACTGCTTTATGAATTGCTTTATGTATTTTTACCCTATCCTTGCTTATATTGCCAATGACTTTCAGTTTTTGTAAAACCAAGTTGTCGATATGCAACTTTGACATCTCTCATATCAAAGTAAATACCGTCTAAAAATTAATACTAGAGATAATATGAATTCAACTACGAAGAAAGCTGTAAGATGTCTTTATTTAAATGACAGTATGCATATTTTATTTAAAGGGAACCTGTCATTCGAATATAATGCAAATTACTCATGGCAACATGCCTGATAAGAATAGTATATCTTGGGTATACTGTTACTCGTATAATCTGAACATACAACACCGACATCATACTGGTGACTGTCACAGCTAGAGACATGGTTTCCCCATCCACCGTGAGAACAACTTGCAAGTGAGAACTCTGAACCTGTACATTCCATGCTCTGTAGCCATACGTTACCCGTCCCTCTTCCGTATCGCCAATATCCTACAGCTTTGGTATAACCGAGCTGTCGGCACGCAACCTTGGCATCATTCATATCAAACCAACTCTGACACACTGTTCACCATTGACCACTGTGGTACACTTATAAGGCGACAAACGTTTACGAAACTGCAAAAGTCAAATCAATGATTTAATTTATATTGGCGTAGCTGCTATTTCGCCCCTTCTGGCGATCATGGTCCTTAGCGTTTTAACTGCACTGCTATGTGCCAGCAGGTACAATGGCAAAAATAAGCGAAATATAATAAAATAAGGACAATAAATAATATATTTATTTTGATGCGACGTCTTATTGAGACGAAAGGTCCAAAGCAAAAAATATATATATACATAATAAAAAATAAGAGCAATAAACAATAATTAAAATAGGTATGTATGTTCAAACATGGCCGACGACACCAACATCATACTGGTGGCTGTCACAGCCAGAGCCATGGCCTCCCCATCCATCATGTGAACAGCTTGCAAGTGAGGCTTCTGATCCTGTACAGCGCATGCTCTCCAGCCAAACTTTACCGGTCCCTCTTCCGTATCGCCAATTTCCTACAGCTTTGGTATAACCGAGCCAAAAGACAAATCAATGACTATACTTATAAATGTACATGAACTACACTACACATCTTAGCTAAGCGTAAGTGAAAACCGTTGTACAGTGGTTTTACAAATTTCGGAACCACTTCGCCACTATGGTTAATTTGAATACTGTACTGCTTAAACGATCCAGTGTTATAATGGCTATGAAAGGAATTCTCGGAGCCTGAAAATGTTACTCAGCTAAACATAGCTTTTCTATGGTAGAGACTTTATTATTCGAAGACTACGTACTACAGAACGTTTACATGGCACGTGAAACTGGTTGGACTGGGCTCACTATATCTTCTCCTGAACGAATTGAAATTAAGATTGCTAAAACGGCTAAATGTCTTTCTGAAGTGTAAGAGCAGTGTTAGTCTGTGTCTTTCAAACGACTTAAGCAGTGAAGAGGAAATTATTACTATGCTTTTTGCGTAATATTCCCAAAATGAAAGCTAATTGTATCCATCCTGATGATCACGTTATTGGACTTGGTGTAAACACCCAAATTTAAAGATGGATTTGTGACAATGTATAGTATATGAAGGATGCCAAGGTCGTCGACTTTATTTAACCAAAATTGTTAGACCTTGGCACAGTGGACGAGGCACGAGTAAAGTATACGATGGATGGTAAGGCATACGATGCACTGGCTTCGAGGCCTCAATTAGAAACTGTTCTCATAATCGGAAACGCTCCTGGGTGCACTCACAGTTATGGTGATTCTGGAATCGTGTACTTGGGATATAATAACAAAAAACAAAAACAAAACATCGTTTTTCAAAAGAAGTAAAAGTAAGCTTATATTTTGTTCACCTTTTTTAAACCAGTTTTCAAGTCTGTTTCATAGTGTTAATAGTGTTGATCTCCGAAAAAATGGTTTTTAATGAAAGACATCGACGGTAAATTTCATTAAACTTGATATTGTATTGGATTGGATCGTTAGTTATCTTTCGTTTTTCAAGTAAAATTAACCAGGAATACAAAGCGTAAAAATGTCGCCCATGCAAAACTTTGTCGAAGAATATTTTTTGAAGAACAAAACTAGCCCTTGGGGTGGTTGTGTACATGTGAAAAAAATCCGAAGTGGGAGAGTAGTAAGTTGGAAAACTCGTGCGAAAAAAATGATATAGTGCATTTCGATTTCATTTTTTTCACTTCATGGCTCTCATTATGGGGGACATTATCTTCATCGGGAATAAAAATAATAATAAATGAAGACTTTGTCCCCGCCGACATGCAACCTTGGCATCATTCATATCAAAGTTATTATGACAGACTGACCACTGTGATACACTGGGATGATGCCCTGACATTTAGTCTTCGTGTTTTACCTTTTGTTTACGCAAAATGCAATTGAACTTTATAAAATAATTATACTTGGGAATGAGCTGTCTGCAAGCAACCTTGGCATCATTCATATCAAACCCGTTATGACACACTGTTGCCAATTGACAACTCTGGCAGATTTGTAAAATCCAAGTCGATGTGACTAATTGAAACATCACTTGCATAGCCTTAATCCTAAAGCAGACAAACAAAGTTGTTATTATACAGTTAATTTAAATGTTTTGATTTCAAACTTTTGAACGTTTCAGGTTGAAAAAGCAGCGAAACTGCAGGATAAGCTAACGAACTTAGTCACCTTTTCGATGCAGTCTCCCTCGTCTCCAAGCTATTATACACACAACGTGGTAAATTATTACAATGAAACATGGAGGAGCAAGGCTTTTAGCAGTAATAGAATAATAAGATTTAATATGTGTGGATACAAGTCTACCACATTGGTCAGTGGGGAACAGTGTGTGCTTATGACTACTGGGATATGCGAGATGCGAAGGTCGCATGCCGACAACTCGGTTATTCCAAAACTGTAGGATATTGGCAGAATGGACGAGGGTCTGGGAAAGTATGGCTGTACGCAATGCAGTGTTCAGGTTCAGAGTCGTCTCTTGGAAGCTGTAATCACAACGGATGGGGAAACGTTTGGTCTAACTACAATTAGCATAAACCTACTAGCATACTATCACGAATCCTGCAATCTGATTGGCTAACGTACTCACTTATCTATCCTGTGATAGATAGCGAGTAGTGAAAAACAAACAATGCATGTTCAAGTTTCGTAGAAATCTCTGCTTGTTCTCTAAAAAACCTTTAAAAATAGATTGTAGAAAAGACAAGACTGTGCCAAGGAAAGGAAAGGTTTTGAACGGTATAGATAAATAAAAACTTAAGAATTATCGAAATTTTAACACGAAAAAGCGGCTGTCAGATTTCAATGAGATTTTCATGTGCAAAATTACGACGGACAAACAACTGGCTACTGCAAGAGATAATGATGGCATTTTAAAAGAATTCCATCAAAGAACGGGAAAAAAATCCAAAAGACAACTTATTCACATGTATTGAAGAACAGACGAGAAGAACAAGAACAGACGAAGCAATAAAGGAAGTGCAAGTTAACTGACAAGGATCTTATATATCGTAAACATGGCACGGCTTTGAATAATCTGACAACAAAGTATTTGTAAATAAATTATTTCAGTTTATCACTCATTAATTTTAAAAAATGATTTCAAGAACTGATAAGGTAAAAAATATTGGAAAGAGAGTTTTGACAGCAATAATAGAGACAAAAAGCTATAGAAATAGAGCAAGGTTAAGCTTTAATACGTCAATACTTCACAAATATGAATGAAAACAGTGCCGCCGGTTGAGTTTCGCTTTTCACAGTAAAATTTTCAGTGTCATTTTTTTGTTTTTCAATACTATATTATTATCTAGTAGGTTTATGCTTAAGGAGGTTGGAAAGTGTTTTGTGCCTTCACATACACTTATATGTTCATTTAAGAAATCGTAACTCAGGAACCAAACGGTTAATTTTTTTGTAAACCGGAGTATGTAGGATCTTTTGAAGAACATTATCTCGATCTTCTTAACACGTCGTTTTAAAGAAGAATATTTTTTTCTTCTGAGTATTGGCGGGTGTTGAGCTGGACCTCGTTCGTTTCACTTATGACATCGTATTTCCATCGGCCAGTAAACACAATTTTGTAGCTCTCGATATTTTTTAGAGATTAAAGCTGGAAAAATGTTCAAAAATAGCACAAATGTGTGCTCTGAACAAACATCTCCAGTCGGTTGGGAAGCAAAAGAGAAAAAATCCAGTGGTGCATGATGGGACTTCGAGGAATATGCGTATATGTACCAGAGGTCAAATTGATATGGATACGATTTCTTTTTCTTAGGGTAGCATATATGACTCTAAATTGGTTAAAAAATGATTTTTAAATCATTTAAAAAGCACTAAACCGGAATTCCTACCAATAGTTATCTCATATTTCGAACGGAGCTTTGAAATATAATTTCATCCGTTTACACATCATGGTTGTGAGTTGAGAGTCAACAGTACCCCATCCAGGATGAGAGCAGCTTGCAAGGGATCACAGAACCTGTACATTCCATGTCGTCCAGCCATATTTTATCTGTGCCACGTCAGTATCGCCAATGTCTAACGACAAGCTACCTTGGATTCCCCCATGTCAAAAGCATAAGAACATACTGTTCCCCATTAATCACTGCTAGCGCTGTCGAACACATCTCCGACGAACGAAAAGCGCTGCAATACGTCAACATCCCACGTGTGACTGTTGCACCCAGAGTTTACGTTTCCCCATCCATTGTGTGTACAGCTTCCAAGCGAAGACTCTGAGCCTGAACACTGCATGTCGAACAGCCATACTTTTCCCGACCCTTGTCCATTCCACCAATATCCTACAGCTTTGGTATAACCAAGCTGTCGACATGCAACCTTGGCATCCCTCATATCAAAGGCATCGATGTAACCATCATGACACACTGTTCCCCATTGACCATTATGGTAGATTATATATAAGCTATCTAAACTGCGATCACACGGCTGATCCTCAACAAAAATATGTTGCACTTTTTTTTCAAAAGGTAAATATTAAATAACTTGTATAAATGTTGCCACATTCTGAAGGATTTGGTACGCGTGTTTTAGGAGACCAAACAAGGGCATGCATTCTCTAACTTATCACTGCTTTACAAAATAATCACTATTCTAATCTTAACGCTTGTCTCGCGATCCTTCGATTCCCAGACTATATATTAGACCTCTAAATTATAACAAATAACACAGTAGTTGGGAAGGACAAAACATACTACACCAACATCTGCGCCGTAACCGCCGCACCAATCACCATTACCATATCCGCTACTGGCACAGCTTTGAGGGGAGGTCTCTGAGCCTGTGCATTGCATGTTAGTCAGCCATACTTTGCCCGTTCCTTGTCCAAACCACCAATATCCTACAGCTTTGGCATAACCGAGTTGTCGGCATGCCACCTTGGCATCCCTCATATCAAAGTAATCGGAACCAGCATAACACACTGTTCCCCATTGACCACTGTGGTAGACTTCTATAACTCCTGTAAAACAAAATTCATTGTCCATTTTTGCCCCTTACCGTTAATAATCGGGTTTTTTTTCCGCTCCGGTATCCTAAAAAATCGTGCATTCTGATTGGCTGTTTGAGCGGGCGGTATTTTGTCAGTATCTGCCCGCGGTCGCGGTCAGGTATCCTTTGCCGCTAAACAACAAGACAAAAAAAACACAGCTGAGACTAGTAACTTTAACTTGGATATCCATCCTCAGCTCTTGCAGATTCCTAAAAGAAAAGTAATAAACAAGGAAATCTTAAAAAACATCAATTAATGTCATATAAAAACATGTTATATAAACAGTAAACATAGTATATATAGTAAATAAGTCAAT